GTTTCGGCATGGCATATTCATTTATAAAAAAAAAATTGGTTCAAATGGGAAAACAAATTGTAGACCTGTATTATAAACAAGTTACATATTAGAATAATTTTTCAACATAAAAAGAAAACTTAATCTACTTCTCTTATAATTATCATCTATATTCACACTTTCGAGACATTTTAACAACGATAGTTAAATTGTGATGATTATTAAAAACTATATAGAAGTGTATTGTACACACACACAAACATACACTTTACAAAACGAACAAGAAATAAGAATGACATTAGCTGTTAGTGACATCTGTCATTTACTCTCATTACCATTGTAGGAACACGCTGTTTAATGTTTAATAGACATATTGTGTATGCATGCATATCTTCAGTTTTGGCGTCAAATTTTTGAAATCAGTAAATACAAAATAGTTTTTCCTTGTTTATTCTAATGGCTTTAGCTAGATGACTTGTTATCTAGATATAGTACCGGCGATATTTATGCACTTGTTTATTCTCCTTGACAGCTGTCATAGCTGTCACAATATGGCCGTAGTCATTCCTATTCTTATTGAGATGTACTGTACCGAGGACTTGGGTTGGCGTGTGCCCTGTAGTTTCTATCAAGCCTATCAGGCAAAGGTTTTCGTGTATGTATGTGTGTATATAAATTAAAATTTACATAATAATTACTTCAGCAAATGCACTGTATAACTTCTTAACTTTCAAACATCGATCACTAATAAAGAACTAGATACACACACACACACACACACACACACACACACACACACACACACACACATACATACACACTCAAACCCACACCAATACATACACTCACTTAAAACATACATCATGCATATCACACGCTGCTCCAAAAGTAAAAAATTAATAGTATTGTTTCTGATTATACCATTGGTTTTGTCTTATAAGTTTAAGGTTCTCTAACCTACTTAAAGTCTCATGTTATTTATTTTTCTCCATGTAAATTTTGAATAATACCCATTTTTTCATTATTTTTAAGTACCTACAATCATTTTTAAAATACCAACTTATTAGATTTTATATTAGTTCTTAAATACCTTGAACATTAGTTTTAAATTCCTATCTGTTAAGGTCTCACTATTGTTACTTGTAAACTATAAAGGGAAGAGGCGAGACAACCCCAACACAAGTATATTCTATTTACTTACTGGGGCTGCCTCAATTACAATAAGTACTGTAATGATTTTGAGATAATAAAGATAAAGATATATTATATATTGTGTATATAGCAAATTAAATAAAACAATGAAAACAATGATACACAATCGGTGGCAAAAAAATGTCCCAACTGAAAGTCCACCAAACTCAACATCGCGGTGTAGTTTTAGTTTAGTATCACTCGAATGCTCCGACGGTAAACACGCCTCAGTGCTCGTTAAAAAACTGCAAAAACACACACATCTAAGATGCAAAAAAGGATGGAATTTCATATTTTCGTTAAGTAATAATATTATGATTATATAAATGTCATCATTGTATTTTAAATATTAATGTTTTATTAAGAAATCAACTTTAAAACTTTTTCCAAATGAAATCGTATTCAAAAACCGGGGTTATAATGCACACAGTTTATAAAGACACTTATACTAAACTTAAAATCATTCTCTAGCATGACCACTTAAGTTGTTCGGTTTACGTGGATTGATTCTGTTCCGTTTAGTGGAGACGCTATTGTTTCTAATTTTATTTATTGTTTTTTTTTATTAAAAAATAGTTTTTATTTAATATTATACTTCTTTACTGTGTTTATTAAAATATGGAATAGGCAGATGTAATGGATTTAATTTAAACTGCAGTAAAGAAATTTTTTTTTAGCTTTCATCAAGACCCGTTCGATATGAAAAATTGGCAACAATAACGCCAACATTTTCAGTACTTACTTTAGATATATATTCTTTTTATTATTTTACATCTTTTTTATTTGACTTCGAATAGAAAGGATTAAGGAGGACGAAAATAAAAAACTATATGCATTAGTTTCATTGGTAAATAAATGAACAAACCTATAGAAAAGAATACTATAAGTAATGCGTTTTAATTTCCGTATTTTCTTTTTTTGATAAATTATAAAATACGAAAGAAATATATTTCTTACGAGACATTTCGACTCCAATCATTCTTTGTCCTAGCGGTGAGCCGAAGTCGTTAAATTTTATTGCTTATTTTTGACACTTTGTAAATTCGACTTAAAAACATGCGAATATGGTTCAATTTCTTATGATTTGTGTTTGTCAAGAGCTTCGGTCGCAAAAAGTATTAAGATTTTGTACATCACTTTGTAAAAACAACTCTATGAGTTGCATTTAAGGTTTAATTTACATTAATGCATTTTTATTTCAAGTATAAGTACCTAAATACAGTTGGCGACAGTTTTGAAGCGAACTTTTGTATGGGATTGTGTATCTAGTTCTTTATTAGTGATCGATGCTTTCAAACTATATGTTTAATACTAAGTATTATTCATTTAAAACTAGATGTCGCTGTAAGCACTATGTATTATGTACAAACTACCTTGTTTTACAGTCAGTGGCGCGTTATTTTTTTACTATACAGATAGACTGACATCTAATGTTTTTATTACTATTAAAATATTTTTACATTCCTTATACTTATTATTATTAAACCTTTATACAGGGTGTTAGGCATCTGATTTTCGATACTTTCTTTATCATATTTCGATTTTGTAACACTTTTACTGTCATACATTTTTTCGCATGTTTTAAATGATTAAATTTTCCATTATTATCAACACAATATTAGGTTATTATATAAGTATGTACTTTTAAAAGTTGTATGTAGTATGTAATGATGGTCCATGATTAAAAAAAACAGTTTAAATTAAGTTGTGCGAGACATGTGTATTATCATATATTTATGAGACACGACCTGGTTTTGTAGTATTTGTTATATAAAAATTAAATTGAATTTACATGTCTTGTGTATTGGAAATCCAAACCCTAACACGCTGTATAAAAACGTTCCCTTAACTATTCTACAGATAATTTTATGTCAAGAATTTTTGATTGGCCGTCATTACGCAAAGATATTTAACCTCAGAATCAAAAGTAAATTTTTTTTTTGTCCAAAACAATGATTTTTAAGACAAACTTTTAAAATGTAAATATTTTTAGTCACAACACAATTCTTATTAGTCAGCATTCAGGAAACAGAGAGGAAAGTTCCTTAACATCAGAAAAGGATGGTCCTCCGACCAGGCAAGGTGATCAGCCTGGCGGGCTACTGCTCAACAATGGTGCATTGGGATTTTCTATCCGTGTTTATCCGCGCGGAAACTTAACTTGCGTGATGTAGGCATTGTAAAATCATCCATGATCGTTGCTCTTCACAATCTATCCAGACAAGCAGCGGGTGGGTTCCGCCATTTTACATTTTCTAAACACACTCAACAACAACCGAACACACTTTCCAACAGGTGTATTGTCTATTTGGTAGTTCATAATCATAAAAAACTAACTTCAGTGTAAAATGAAACGCCACATTTTTGCATAACAACGACCAATTTTGGCTAAACCTAGATCTAAACTTAATTCTAAGTACTAGAAAATCTAAACTTAGCTCATCTGTGGCCACTGCATGGATTTACTCCATTATCACCCCTCCCTACCCTAAGGGTAAAGAATGGGTGTATTATATATACACTTAGCAATTAGTGAAAACTATATTTGGGTTACCATTTCTATAATACAAACTCGAGTACCGTAATATTAAAACTAACACACACGAATATTTCGGTTAAAAATAGGGTTAAATTGACGTAATTTTCGCAAAACCTTAAGAAATGAAAAAAGGTAAAATATATTAAAAAGCACAGAGAAAAGAATATTGTGACATTACCAAACACCATTCAAAAATTGTTAGCTAAAAAACCTATTATTCAAATTACATTTTGACTATTAAAAAAATTTATACAAACTATTAAAGACGTTAGGATTAAAACCTATTAGGTTGGGGTTGATGAGATAAAACTAACTGGCGCTCCCAAAGATTATTAACTAAGTGACTTATCAAGAAGTAACAGATTTGTTCTGAAAAAAGGTGGTATGGATCGGACCGAGCAACCATTTAATTACTCTCGAGTATTGGATACATTAAGAATAGTTTCCACACGCAAATACACGTGCCTTAAACCGTGATATACGCAGCGCAGATCCACGCGAGACACAATGTGTTTTCTTTTATTTGTCACACACCGGCAGACAAGAGGATAAATGGGCACCTAAGCTTAGATGTTAGCATCTCACTCTAATTTGATTCTGCTTACGCCTTTAGAAACACGTTTCTTGAAATATAATAACAAAAATCCACTTCTCTTTTGATGCGTAAGCTTACAGTACCCGGTAAGAAACATCGCACATCGACATTTCAAAAGAAACAATCAGCTAAATCCCCGCTTATACTGCTCATGGTGATACAATGGTCGAGAACTTTCCTCGAATCATAAAAAAGGTAATCTAGATACATAAAAATCAATGCCACTTTTCGTTGTAATGTTATAACTCAACAATGTCTTTACCGATTTGGCTTATTTTGGTCTTGAATTATTCGTAAGTCCAGAGAAGCACGTACGTATTAACGTAGAAACCTTCTCTGGACTTCTTCAGAGACACCATAAAATTGTCTTCATTAAAAAATTTGATGTGCAATATTTATCACCTGTACTTTATCTTTATTTCAACCCAAACCTAACAAGCATAGATGAATACTTATCTTCTAAATATTGTATAAATTACTCATAAAAAACAAAATCTCTTAAACCTTAACTAAGCATTAAAGACTAGAGTTCATTTGCGTTAGGAAAATTGTGTCTTGAAGCGCCAAACTCAAAAACCGCTAAACAGTTTTTGATACAGATGTTCTAGGTCCTTTTTTACAGTCTACAGAATCGATAAGTGCACATCACATCTAGTAAGTATTAGTAAAGTCGATAAGGAGTTTAGACAAGTGCCAATCATACTATTGATGTTTGAAATCCATTTTCTTCCATCGCCTTAAATTTTAAGTCATATACCTACACTTTAGCTGGATAAAAAACGATCAGAAATGCCAAAACACATTTGTCTAAACTCCTGATAAAGGCAAATATCGTATGAACTTGAAGTGACCAAATCTTTTAATGTTCTTGGCTTTTCGATTTATACTTTAATTTAACGCAAATGGACTGTAAACCTTTTAAAAACTAACCTAAAAAAGCACCTACCTTACGCCACCTAGAAAAGGGGAACAGGAATTTCAAGGACTGGTGAACGAAGTCGAGATGTCCTTGAAAATTTGACGCTATGGTCTTTTGAAGTAGTGCTCGTCTACTCGTTTGGCGAGCGCGACCAGGGTCTCGTGTTTTCGGACAGTTTCTGCCAACTTGCGGCATGGAAGTCTCGTGGTGATGATTGTGAAGACGTGACCGAAGACCAGAGCATCAAGTTCTGTTGGTCTGCGGATAGAAAATGTGATTTTGTTTTTATATGGTATTATAAATTTATACATGATAATTTAAGTTAGACGAGAGGGCTTTTTAAAATAGGATATTAAGTGTTCGTCCTAAAAGAGGGCGATATTTATTACAATTAGCTCTGAAGTTTAAGCTTTACGCTTAAGAACTTTGGATTGGAGCTTTGACGTTTCTGAATAAATATAAGCATAAATTATAGTGGGTTTAACTTTGTATAACAAGCTAACGCTAAATCGTGTAAACACAACCCATTCTAGCACAACAACTTGACTATTTTGCTAAAATATATCCAGATGTGTCCCTTCTAATACCTTATTGATACGAATATTCTACATTACTAACAAAAACTAGGTTATAGTATTAAAAATACGAATGCATACTTAAATACAATAGTTAACTAAGAATTTTGATTAAATACGCAGCTATCAAGGTCAACAGACTAAACTATTACCGAAGAAAATTAATGGTCTTCTACTAGGTCTCGTAATCTAAACCTCTCAGTGGGAGGTCTACTGGTCTCATGAGACCAAAAGACTTTCAAGATAATACCTTAGATAAACTTTCTACATACAATACCAGAAGATTTAAATTAAACTCACATTTTCATCTTGCCATTCTGCATAAGAAAGATAATAGACCTGCCTTCGTCTTTTACTCCAAAGAGTATAAGTATTATTATTTAATACTTAAAAAATTATATTCTATTCTACAGTTAATTGATAATAAAACTGCATAATTAAAAAACAAATATTTATCTAATAAACACACATAGGTTTAGCTAACTGACACAATTTTTTGTTAGAAACATACTCTCCTAACTTACAATTCTTGCATTTACCTATTCGAAATCGAATTTCTCACTTTGCGCTCATCTGTAAGAATACCCTAATAAGATATCATCAAGCCTATAACAACAGCTTTATTCAAATAGAAAGAAATGACAAATTAAACATTTTTAACAAACTCACAAGTTACAATTTAAAATAATGACTAAACCGTTACAATATAGAAATAATTTTGTTCTTGTTTAAAATTACGATGTAAATTAATAGCACTATCATAAACATATGTTATTCTGTAAAATATTATACTACAAAACACACAACGTATTTCTTTACCAAATTAAATAATACACCAATAATACGCAATTTCGGGTTTCTCGTTCCGTCCAACCCGAAACGGCGTAGTGCGTTGTCGTATTGTCTAATCGATATCAGCAACTAAATTGTAAGCCGCGTTTCTCTGGCGTAAATAATCCAATAGACTCTCAACACTTATTTCCTCATTGCTTGGTAATTTAAGCGTTGCTTTTGAATCTGTAATATTCGAGAATAGATGTTAATCCGAAACGGCGTAGTGATACGAAACGTCGTTTTTTTAATTTATGTTGATTTTAACTACTTTTTAACCCTATCACACAGTAATAAATATTTATTTATTTATTTATGAACGGAATTAAGACTTAAAACGGAGAAAGAATTTCTATCAACTGCATACTATTGTGTGATGGAATTATACAGGCTGATATTAAAAGGCAGTTCCTACTTCCTACTATGATAAATAAATAAAAGATTACAACTCTCCCATCATTTTTACAGTTTAGTCGATAAAGAAATAAATGAAAATAACAATAACTAGCCTGTAGAAGTAGGAGTGCGGGCAAATGGAGATTTATCCGAGGAATCACCGGTAGAATCTTTATCAGTACAGTTCAAATCATCAAGATCTTTGGGGATCACATCACTGCCGCTAGGAAAAAAAATACAAAACAAAAAGTGTAAACGCGAATGTTTTTAAGTAAAGATGGAAAGATGGTCGTTAATCTGACTGTCTGGATGGAAAGATGATCGTGACTGCGCGGTTGGTGCGGTGGCTGGGCAACTGGCTGCCGTCCAACGTGTCGCGGGTTCGATTCCCGAACGGAACAACAACTTTGTGTGATCCACTAATTGTTGTTTCGGGTCTGGGTGTCATGTGTATGTGACATTGTATATTTGTAAACGCACCCACAACACACGAGAAAATCCTAAAGTGGGGCAACGTTTTTTTTTTTAAAAAAAAAACTGTTGGGTCAAAACTACTGAACGGATTTGAATGCAATTTGCTTATCAAGACATAGGCAAAAGAGATAGTCTAGAATAATACATAGTATACTTTTGACCCTGTTACTGCAGGCGAAGAAAATAACTTAAACTCGAAAATCTAGCGTTGAGTGAAACGATAAACCTGTTTTATTATTATCATAATCGCCTACAACAATCCCTGACAATCCAAAGGTGGAGAGTGAGCCTCTCCTTCTCTCTCCTCCTGAGTATAACAACAGGCCATCAAGTTGAAGATATGCAAATTTTTGTGTGAATTCAAAATGTGCAGGTGTATTAAATAGATCTGCCCGGTCTCTTTTATCATCATCATTATCATTAAGCCTCACTCACACACATCTTTTCCACTGCTAGACATAGGCTTGTCTAAGCGCACGCCACTTCTCATCCGACTACTACCAGCGACCCTACGGATATCATCAGTCCACCTATTTGGAGGGCGCCCTACACTACATTTGACGTAATGTATTTGTCTCTTTTATAGATTCTAATTACAGTGATAGCAAAAACATCAAAATACCTGGTAATTTCATCATCGACTACAGTCTTTCGTGTCTCAGGATCATTATTTAAGACCTTTTTGTCCTCTTCATCATCAGCGTGAGCATAATCATCATCATTTACAATATGCATACCATCATCGAGACCTATCTCCAACGAATTAGTCGTATCAGTCAAATCGTTCTCTTCAATCGTATCCAAATAATCGTTGACTTTCACATCGATAGAATCGATTTTCGACTCGATCACCGTTTTGGGGTAAGCGATAATTTCAAAAGCGTCATTTCTCTCGCTATCCGAATCGTCTTTTTCTGCAAATTCATCGATTACAACCTCGTCAACTTTTTCTAGTACGTCGTCGATTATTTCGTTAATCGATTTGCTGATTTCCGAGTCGATAGGTGCGTGATCGAGTTTTGTTGTGGACTCGTTTTTACACACATCATCACCTTCTTTCGTTGTCATTATTATAATTTGCTTAGATGCAAATGGTTTAAAGCCTGCATTGAAAAATTTTCTTGATCAGCAGTTCAAGCTACAACTTTTTGTCATTTTTTTATTAGGTTTCCAACTCTATTGGTTCTAATATAAAGATGAAAATCAATTCTATACTAATATGATAAAAAAAGGTAAAATTTGTAAGTTTGTATGTAGGGGCTAATCTTTGGAACCGCTGGTCGGATTGCCAAAATTCTTTCACTTATAGATAGCTACAATATTTCTGAGTGCTATAGGCTATAGAACATCACTATACGTTCAAATGGAGCTGAGCAGCGGGTGAAGCGCGCGAGAGTAGCTAGTATAAAACAATACCAGATAAATTGACCTGCTTGTTGACAAAGTTATAGCTCCGTTTCTACTTGCATAAATTACTTTTTTTTTTGTTTAATTGGCTGAATAGCTATGTTCAATGTTCCCTAGAGATGGAAAGAGACCCACTTGCAGTACCCTATTTTGTCTAGTATTAATAGCTACAGCAATAAGGAGCAGCCTTAACAATTTCAAACACCTTTCAGCATTACAAATCATAAACATCTAAGAAAACTGCTATCAACCACAACAACAATCAAAAATAGACCTTAAACGCAAAAAAATAATTTACCAAAAACATCCTTATTGCTACCGGAATGAATTGTATCTTTGCTTGTATTCCGTATGCTCATACGGGAGCGTTTGATCCTCGTGCTTCGTTCAGACATTGTGCGTTCAGGGGAGATTCGGCGACGGGTTACTTGGAAGGCTTGGGTCACTAGGTACTCTTCTTGAGTCTGGTAGGAGAAATGGGTGGGGATAAGAAATGGAGAAGTATACTGTCTTTTATTTGGAAACAGTACTTTTAATTTGAGTATTTCAAGTTAGAATTGAGTTCATCATCATCATCATCATCATCATGAGCAGCCCGAAAAGGGCAACTAAAGCTACTCCATCTTCGCTTGGCTGGTGAATTGAAGTATATAATATTCCCTTAGTACGTTCTGACACCCGCGAAAAGACCAAAGTAGTAATAAATACATTATACTCTATTTTACTTAAAAAATCTATGAACAGCATCCAAAGAAAAACGTCCTAACTACTTTAATAAATACAAATTGAACCTTACCGTCAACATCATTTGGGTTACTTTGGTACATCTCAACAAATGCCTCAGTAAGGAACTAGTGATATGCTTGATTAGGGCACCTGCCCTAACTCCTGACGACATGAGGATCGCTCTCATATGTCCATATACCAGGGCGTCTAGGGGGGTTGGGCTAGGAAAAGAATTAGGAATTAAGGTGTTATGGTAGTGGAGGAGATGGTGGGGATGGGCATAGGCCGGCAAGATTATGTTTGTCTTTGTGAAATATATATTTAGATAAGATTTCAAGATATTTTTTTTTACTTGCAATAAACTAGTGCTTGACTGCGATCCCACCTGATGGTAAGCAGTGATGCAATCGTTGATGGTAAGGCGCACTAGTTTCTTAAGAGCCTATTCACTCTAGCCTTGAAGACACCTAAATTGTATTCGGACGGCGGAAAGACTGCAGCCGGCAAACTGTTCCAATCCCTCGATGTACGCGGTATAAATGACGAGGCAAAACGCTTAGTGCGGGCCGCAGGTGTCTCAACAACGTAAGGGTGGATATTTGCCGTACGTACGATTTATACAGAATGGCAAGCGGTATTTGACAACTTTAATTGAATTGCTGAAAACTATACTTTTCCATTAATTTCGTACGGTACAACGAGGTGAATAGAATTCGAGGGGTGAATAGACACAGAAGGGGGATGAATAGATACTAGGAAAATACGCCAATATCTTTTCACCCCTTACGTGTATCAATGCACCCCGTTTTACGGTATGACATGAAAAAATGTGACATCCGACTATATTATTATAGATGTCAAAGTTTGTCACAATGTATGGATGTGTGTTTGTTATTCGTTCAAGAAAAAACGGCTTGATCAATTTAGCTGAAATTTGGTATGCAGATAGGCGATACCCTGTATTAGCACATAGGCTAGAACTGGCTTTTTATCAACATATCACGCGGGCGAAGACATGAGCGGAAGCTAGTAGGAACTATAGTAGATAAATCCGAGAGTAAGTATGTATCAATATTTTTGAAAACTATTGCATTGAAAAAGTCGAAATACTTAATAATATTTTTACGCAGAGAAAAATAAGCAAATTAATTTATAAAATAAATTTACGCCGCTTTATTGCCAAAAAAAAAATGAAAAAATAAATACTTACGAATTACCGAAGAAATAATCTCTGTCGCCTAGCCGTTGACTCAATGAGTTGCAGCATTGTTCCACCTGGCAATATAAATAATAAAACTATAGTTATTGAAGTGTTTTCATTAAATTTAATTACTTTTAAGTTCCTTAGGTGTTTATGTCTAATAATAGGTCGTATACCTATGAAATTGCCGTTTTGCATGAAAAATTTTTAACGAATATTTTGATTTGAAATATGATGAAAATGTAACACTAATCAATAAACAAATGACTACTTTTGGAAAAAGAATCCCATGATTTTAAACTTACCCCAGGTTCCCGAAAGGCCGATCAATGTTAAAATCAATTTAATCTCTTGTCAAGTCATCTGATTGGTTGACTGAATTATCAACAACCAATCAGATGAATTGACAAGAGATTTAACAGGAGATTAATTAATTTTAGCGTTGACAAGCCTTTCAGAAACCGGGTGTTAGCCTAACAAAAACTATTTTGATTTGAAATGGCCAGTATTGCAGAACGGCAATTTCATAGGTAAAGACCTATTATTTTATGTGATCGGACGGCAAACGGGCAGACGGATTACCTGATGGTAAGTAATCGGCGCCACCCATGGACACCCGAAACACCAAATAAGTTAGGAGTGCGTTGCCGGCCTTTTAGGGATAAGGATTTCTTATATTTAAGGATTGCGAAGGGATTGGGCCTCCTGTAACCTCACTCACGCGGCGAAACAACGCTGTGGTTGTTCCACGATGGTTTTCTGTGAGACCGTGGTATCACTCCGGTCGAGCCGACCTATTCATGGCTAAGCATGGCTCTCGTACACTGTTCTTTTGATGCAGTTCTTTAAGCAATCATTTATGTTTATTAACAAGAACAATAACAAGAACAGTAAAATCTTACTAATATTATAAATGCGAAAGTAACGATGTTTGCATGTTTGTTACTCAATCACGCCAAAACGGCTTGACGGGTCTGGATGAAATTTAGCACAGGCATAGGATACACTCCGGAATAGGACATAGACTACTATTGACTACTTGAAATAATATTATATACTCACATCAGCCAAAACTTGATCGATGGTCTTGTCATACCAGTGCAGGGCCTTCAACCGTTTGATGACAGCGTTTCTTTTAGCCCTAGTCTGCAGCCATCCTAGCGGCCAGGGGTACACCGAGGAGTTCCTCACTTTTGTGACTGCATTAAATGTCTCGTTGTCCACCCAGGATATGTAGAGCTGTGAGGTATTATTTATTTAAGGGACGGGCCGGTTTTATTAAGGCACCTTTGCAATGATGTGGATTCATTATCTTTACCCCCATTTTCCGAAAGACCGATCAATGTTAAAATCAATTTAATCTCTTGTCAAGTCATCTGATTGGTTGACTGAATTATCAACAACCAATCAGAAGACTTGACAAGAGATTTAACAGGAGATTAGTTAATTTTAGCGTTGACAAGCCTTTCAGAAACCGGGCGTTACAGTGCTATTAGAGAGCTGTACATGGACTTGATCTATATAATCACAGTCCTACAGTGAGATTTAAAAAGGACACACTGCATTGCAATTTTTTATTTACTTTTAGACACACTCTTAAAGACCTAGCCTATCAAAATTAAATAAGAGAAACAGATGCCCACTGAATAAGACTGGACTATAGGGCTGTTGCACTTGGATTCAGACAAATCATTAATTTAAAAAGTCTAACGAGAAGTCATTGGGTGATTTCCCCTCACGAAAAAATACCTTTAATTAATTGTTGCACTTGTAAATATCACCCTAGTACCTAAGTCAATTAGCAATGTACCGTGTAAACAATAGTTGGTTAAAATAAATAAGGGCTGATTTTTTAATGGTTAGATAAAAGTTACCTGAAGAATAATTATAATGCTGTCGCGTCAGAATGTTTGTACAAGACAGAGACAGCAACAATTTTTGAAAAATCAGCCCTTAATTATTTAAATGCCATACCTCAGCATTAACAAGAACATTGGTGATCAGGCTCATATACGCTCTCATTTCCGCCTTCTCCTCAGTGCTTAATTTCCCGCAGAGTGACACGCCCTTGTTTGCTGCAAATTGGACTATGGGCTCCAACTCTGACACGACGAAAGCCCCGCACTTGATGAAGGGGACCCGCCCCGATGGTGACATGAACTCTGCATTCCATCTCATCTCTACTTCAAATGGTAGGTTGCACATCTGCGTACAAAGGATTATCATTAGATGAAGAATGTCCACCCCTGAACAAAAGGATGTATGTGAATAAGTCGTGGTGGCCCGGAGGTTAAGGAGCCCGCTTCTCATGCATGAGGGTTCGATACCTGGCTAGTACCAATGTGACTTTTTCCGAGTTATATGTACTTTCTATGATTATTTAGACACCACTGATATACGGTGAAGGTAAACATCGTGAGGAAACCTGGACTTATAATTTCTATAATTAGAAGTTTGAAATCGCCAACCCGCATTGAGCAAGCGTGGTGATTAATGAAAATTCCGCCTACCTTCAAGAACGCCTGTACAGCCAGACAGCTGGCATTGTCTGGCAGCAGTATCTGTTCCACCTCGTAAGGCTGGAACAATTTCACGTTGTCCGGCCATGGTTCTTGAGCTGGAAGAAAGAATCACTGTTTTAGAAACAACATTAAACATGAGTTCTGTGGGTCACGTCACCGCAAACGCATCAAAACAAAACTCCTTTATTAAACGATTTTTTCAGAATAAATAAAAAAAAGTTTAATTTTCTTTTTATTTTGTGTGAAAGAAGTCATTTGAACGCATTTTAGTCAGTAAGAGTCTGACACTCCGTCTCGCCTCGCTCCGGGAGGACAACATTTGATGATCCCACAAGATTTAGGATTTTTGAAGTTTCACTAAGATCCAGCGGTAGAGCAGAGGTATACATTTAATTTTATGTCAATGTTACAAATATTATCCTTTAATTAAATACGCCTATTCTTAGTTAAAAGTACATCAAAAATCACATAAAAATCAGTATCAAACGCTTATCCAGTTTCATATGGATTTTATTCTTAATCTAAATTAGCTATATACAATGTGTAATATACATACATTCATAATATACATTTTATACTAATACATATTATAAAGTGGTCAAATTTGTAAGTTTGTATGTTTGTAAGTTTGTATGTATTTATTTTGAATTATTAATAATGTGATGGCCCAAATGATTAGGGAATCACTTCTCATGTATAAGGGGCACATGTCCCAAACCTGACAAGTATCAATGTGTTTTTTTCCAAGTTAACCAAGTTTTTCCAAGTTAAGTTATTATTCAGAAGCCACTGACAAAGAGTGATATACAACATCATGAGAAAACTTGGTCTTATAAATTCTAATTATAAGTTTGAAATCGCCAATATGCCTTGAGCTAGCGTGATGATGAATGCTCAAGCCTTCTCCGTGTGGGAAGATGCCTCAGGAGTGGGCACTTATAGGCTGTTTATGATGATCCAATGATAATTATCTAGTCATGAATAAAGTTTATTTTTAAGTCTAGTCTAATATTATAAAAATGTAATTTTTGGAAAGGCTGGTCGGATTTCCAAAATTCTTTCACTGACAGACAGCTACAATTTTCCTAAGTGCTATAGGCTATAAAACATCACGCTACTATTAAAGAGAGCCGCGCAGCGGGTGAAACTGCGCGAGAGATAAGTATAGAATAACTAGCTCAGAAGTAAACTATGTGTTTATTATTCCAGACTATAATCTATTTTTTGTAAATACTTTTTTACATTAAAACAATAAATCGTCCAAATTATTTTAGCTAACATAATTAAAACAAATCCCTTTCGGTTAAATTCAAATATTTTATTAAAAATAACATGACCAATTTATTTTCTTTCTTTGTTTATTAACTAAGTTTTTAAAAGTACATACTGCGATATCTTGAGACGGCAGCCAGCTCAGAATTCTCCAAAATAATGCATTTTACTGTCACAATCATTTTGTTTACGCTCCAAAAACAAATCACGAAAAAAATCAAAATCACTATTTAAATAACATTTTGAATACAGAATGCAAATTGAGATATTAAATCATAATAATTACAAAGATGGACGATGTGAACTCTAGATAGACATGAAAGCACTGGAAACGTAGCGTGGCTGGACTGTATAAGCTCCGCCCATTTATCGATCCTGTCTAGCCTGCCTATAGTGCATACAAGGACCTAAAAGGGAAATGCAACAAGCGTTCGGTTATCATCGGCAATTTTCGTCAACGTTCGTATTTCCTGACCAATCAGCGCGCGAAAACTGCCAATCGCAAGTCGTTATCGATTGAAGTACGCCCTTATACGTCTATGGTTGTAGTTTTTTTTTTAATCTAGGGCTGTGGTCGGTGTACTGACGATAGCTAGGGCTTCCATGACTGTTAAAAAGGTTTAGTATGATTTTTAATGTTGAAAAAATGCATTTAAAATATTGTGGTTAATGATAATTTGGCCGAGTGGCTTTTAAGAAAATGTTGGTAGTTTAATAAAATAAAGACTAATTTACTAAAACAATAGATTTCTTCGAAATATTCGACAGTATTATAAGTAACGGTTGGCAGTATGGCAGCACCTTCATGACATGCTTCTGCGCAACGTTGCACTGGTTCGATTTGAGCACAGATCCACCTTTAGTGCGATCCACAAATTTTGAATCTAGACAAGGTGAAGATGACCTTTTGTGTATATGTGTAGTGTAACAGACAGGAGACACAGAAAACACAACTTATAAAGAACGCCATAGCTTAGGAGGAACCAAAAATACCTTTAGAAAAAAACATTTTATGTGATAAGGCAAACGAACTAACTTATGACCTGATTATAAGCAACATGCGACGCTCAAAGAGCGAACGAATCGGGAGAGTTAGAAACTATGAGAACACATTTTTAAATAAATTCATATTTGTTTTAGTACACTATAAGCATAAATTAAAATTACATATTAAAATGTACGCAACCCTAAGGTAAGGGCGCGGTGGCATCCCATATTAACCACAATAATAAAGGAAGGTGGGGCAGAACAGCGCATGAGCAGTCTCGGGCGTAAAAGGGCGTAGGGCTCCCACGCGGCGAGACGTTGACGTACACAACGGTACAAAATAGCACAGATATCCAACTAATATTATCAACGTTTATAGTATGGATGGAGGGACATATCGTTAAGGTTTTATGACAAAACTAGCTTCCGCCCGCGGCTTTGCCCGTGAGGTATGTTGATAGAAAGTAGCCAATGTCCTAGTCCGGAATGTTTCCTATGCCTGAGCCAGATCCGTCCAGCCGTTTTGGCGTGATTGAGTAACAAACATCCAAACATCGTAATTTTCGAATTTATGTTATTATGGAAATACCTAAGGCTACTAAATAGATTTGGATCGTATTTGGTACAGAGTTAGATTATAGTCTAGAATAACATATGACATGATGCACTTTATAATACTTTTGTACGCGTTTTGTATAACAAATGTGTGATTTTTTTTTCTCTACTTCCTATATTATATACCTATGTCTAGTTTTATATCTGTCAAAACTTATAATTGGCCTTATTAATGTTATTTACAACCGAACTATACTGTACTTGATCAGCTGTGAGTTTTCGTAAAACTTGTAAAATAAAATAAACACGTGTGACCTTACGTGTGTGTGGGGCACACGTTTTTTTTTAATTGATTATAGGTTCGCGCTTGACCGCTATCTCACCTGATGGAAAGCGACGATGCGGTCGACGATGGAGCGCGCTTACCTAGAAGTAACCTATTCACTCTTGACTTAAAGATACCCAGATACACACGTAATTTTTTTTTTCTATTAAATTTTCTGTTATTGGCTTCGACATCCAAAAGAAGCGCAACGACGCTCCAAGACGCATTTCCGGCTTTTTTAGAGGAGGCACGCTCGTTTGAAGATTTGAAGGTTGTATCGCTTCGGAAATACCGCCACCAAAAAATAATTCAGGCAAAGTCTTGATGTGCGCGGCTCAAAGTCCCGCGAAAATGGCACAGTTGTCGGCTGCAACCAACTATGTTTATGTCGACACATGTTGTTCATTCCACGAATGTTGTTTAATGTGCAGCGCATTTACCTTTGGCATCACTATAAAGCAACAGGCTTTATATATAATACAGAGTTCAAATTATTTAAACACCAAACACGATTCTGAAGTCATGAGAGCTTGGACCCTATTAATTCTTTGCACACTTGGGGATTGGATCTAAGACCCATACCAGTTGAGCTTGTGTCAACTCAACCATCATCAACCATGGCATAATCCTTTTAGACCAGAAAACATGATGTCACACTTTAAATCTACTTCTTGCTCATATCTTGAGTCTATTGCCAAATTAATTAGTTTGAATTCATATAACAATATGTTCAAAATAGCAATGATATCATTATGCTATCTCAGTGTGATGATATCATACCTTTTACACCTCATCAGGTATCTAAAATTAACCCATCTTAGTGAAGTACAAGCTCGACCTAAATGACACCAAAGACTCGCAGAAATGGAGATTGGAGGCCCAATCTGTCCCTTCAACATCAAACTTTAAAAACCCCTAGCTAAAATAGAAACGAACTGTATAGTTAGTCAAAAAAAACATTTTTATTCCCACAGTATTAAATACAGCATCCAGTATTTGACCTTTAAACAGTCTTATAAAATGTGAATATCTCTCAAAAACTAAACACCTAGTCAAGTATTCTTGCAATTTTATTGTTAGAATACAGAAAAACTTTCCGATGAGCATAACATCAAATTTTGTTATTTTTTTATGTACTGAATTGTATATTCTTGCAGGATATTATTGTTCAGAACCTCACAAAATATGAAAATTTTTAGTTCAGATGAAACTGTTTTATTTTTTGAAATTGTTTTTTTTTCTCTTCTTCATATCTCCTTGAACATTGTTTTTGGTGTGAATGTATAGTTTAAGTGTGGAAACTGTTCATTCGATATTTGAATATGTTTCGAATTTGGAACAGCGGCCAGTAATATGAACTTAGTTCGTTTCATTTGAGTGTTGGTTATGGGATTGTATTTTATTATTTTTATATAACATCTGTTTGTTTCCCAAATAAAATAAAATAAAAAATAAATATCTTTCTGCAAAAGTGTGTGTGCTTGTGACTGCAATCTTGAGAAATCTATGTGTGTGTTTGAGTTATTTATACAATGACAATGGCTAAAAATGTTTATGCATCTATACAGTGCTTATGTTATTTGAATTATAACAATAAATTTCAGTATTAATAATTGTAAATGAATAATATAAAAAACATGTAATGCAATTTTAGGATTTAATGAACCTTATTTTACAATGGAGTCTTAGGAAACGTAAATTAAACATTTAAAGTAGGTATTTAGTTATCATTTATATTGAATGTTATAAAATCACACTCCAAAATAGGTGGCAGCAGTTTCAAAACACATTTTAAACACATTAGGTTATTCATAAACAAAAACAATAAAACTGGTAATAAATTAACACTGGACTGTTAAACGCAACATATTTATACAGCAATACACTTTAACAGAAAAAAAATCTTCAAACCACACACAAATTATTGTTGAAAATTTTACCAAATTCAAAAGGTTCGTCAATTCGGAATTTCATTGCTAACCGTAGTTCTTAACTGAATCCAAGTCCCAAATGATGTAACACCAGTAATATAACACTATTTAGAACATCCCGAAGCTAAAATTATATATTTCTGTCAAACAAAACAATATCAATTTTGCAAATAAAATTATATAACTTCTTCACAGCCAAAATTGTTGAATAATTCAATATATAACTTACCGTTGAGCTGTGTGATGATAGAGTCAGTTATATGGAATTCCGGCATTATATTTTAGCTAATACACAAAGTAACAAGAAGAAGAATAAACTCAATGTAGGTACTGAAAATAAAAATAAATGTTCACAAAATTCAATAAATCGATAGTCAGACAGAATCACATTTGACTGACAGACAATAGTGTAGTGACAGTTGCGGTGTTGTCAACCTTAAAAATTATAGGTTGTGAAATATTTAACTTTTTCTCCATCTTTTGCTTTTACTTTCGTGTAAAACTTTGGCTTTACAATATTTAGTTATAAGCCAACACGGTTTCTTGTACATATATTAATCAATATAGCATACCTATCTTGCAGCAGCTTTAGATGTAGTACAAGTTTTCCTATACTTATCGCTGTACATCAATACATGCTTAAATTATGAAGAATTTAATTAATACAATTTTCAGGAAATATTAATAAAACCTCAAACTCCACCATCTTTTTTTCGCGATAGGACCACAAACGAGTAGACGGATTAGTGATAGTAAGCAATGAGCGCCACTGATGGACACCCGTTACAACAGAGAAGTTACGAGTGCGTGGGCGACCTTTTTGGGATTAGGAATTGAGGAAGGATTGGAGCAGGGGAAGGATTTGCTCTCTGGTAATCAAACTCGTACGGCGAAACACAACGCTGTGATTGTTTCACGCCGGTTTTCTGTGACGTCGTGGTATCAGTCCGGTCAAGCCGACACTTTCGTGTCTAAGCATGACTCTCCTACGCTTAGTGTTATAAATAAATTATCAACATTAATACATAATATTATCAACGATGAATCGTGATGTCACAGTCGTTAACTGTGTCGCACATTTACTATGGTTATGACACAAAACTGTCTTGAGTGCCTTGTCGTGTCGCGTGCCGTCAAATGTATGAAACTGAGCTGTTTGCCGTGTTACAATAATAATAGTCTGATACTGGCAGCTGTAGAATATTTTGGTAATTGTTAGAAAAAAAAAGATTGTATAGAATTCTAATTAGGGTACTTTTTTTACTTGCAATAAACTAGTGCTTTACTGCGATCCCAAAACTTAACATTATTTTTATGACAGTTATTAGTTGGCAAACTAGCTGGCCGATAACTTGTTGATAAAGCAATCGGCAGCGCACATGTACACCGGCAACACTTTGAACAAATGGCACACTGTTTGAGGATTATAGTTTAGGAGATTTTAGAAATTAAGGGATTTGGGAGGGAATGGGAACTTTCACGCCGGTTTTCTTTGTACTAATTCGGTCGAGCTAACCCATTTGTGCCGAATTTGGCTCTCCCACACTTAGCATGCAGTAGGTATATACTTCTTGAACTTTAGGTACCTCTGATCTTTTATATCACCAATAATACAAAATTAAAAAGAAAGAAAGAAATGAAAACGTTTACCCATTTGAATGAGTTTAGTGATGTTATCACCGACACACGCTACATTATTGTTGAGTAAATTAATTCCGAAAGCGAATTCTTCGTCGTCGAAAAAATCAAACGGACGTTCATTAGGTTCTGCTTTATTAGCGTCCACTGAAAGATTAGACTTTGAGTGAATAAGGTCCATATACTTGTGAAATATTGATTCTCCTCTGCTGGGAGATGAAGACCGGGTTGTTGCTGGAGATTTTGTTGATCTTGATGACCAGTCTCCTGAAATTGTGTGTTGTGGTTCTCTAACGTTACAAGTACTCATTTCGGAATTTATCAATGTTCAGTTAGCCTAAAATATTTTTTATCAAAATGAATGCTAAATGAATATTATGGTGTCAAAAGATTTTTGACATTATTGTTTCCGCGAAAGGAGTTTGTGAACACTAGATGTAAAAAGAGGTATTGCATAGAATTTTAAAAAACGCGGCTGTTTGTCGCTTGCCTCTCCAGTCTCCAGTGTTGCTTAGTTATAAATTTTAATAAAATGTTCGAAACGGATTTGTTGTACGGGGATTTGTATGCCTTGCAAAATTCATGATGTATTTTTATATATTTTTTTTATTTTATTCTTGTTTACAACTGGCAAAATGAGACAAAATAAAGTTTTATCTTATTCAAAAAGCAATACTTACAATTTACCGAACTCACAATTTATATTTTTAACAGTAACACTAGCAACACCGAACTAGTCATTTTGTTTGTTGAAATTGTTGTAGTTTCACATTTATTTACGTATAAATCGAACAAAAATATATGTTTAAGCTGTAATATACAACAGAAAAAGCGACAAAAATGGCAGATGTGTTAGATATTGAAAATTCCGAAGAATTCGAAGTTGACGAGGATGGTGAACGTAAGTCATGTCATGTTTATTTTGGTCATTATTTGCAGAATTTTAAACTTATTTTCAATCTACTAACTCTCATTAAGCAATACTATTTATAATTACCGGCATGCATGTTGTATATAACGAGTAATTAAATTAATAAAAACAAAATTTTTTAGGTTAACTTTCTAGTTTTAAACAGTTGAATGAACCGTATTTAGGCTTGGAATTCCGTTATACGTAACATAAATCTACTCTCTAAATATTTCAGTTACGTTTATGATGCATTTCAGTTATTGTTATTCTATTTTTCAGAGGGAATCGCTCGTTTGAAGGAGAAGGCGCGAAAACGCAAAGGAAGAGGTTTTGGTAGTGAAGCCGGTAGCGGAGGCGCCTCAGAGCGAGGGAACAGGGGAAGGTAATTTATACATATCATTAAACACTATAATAACTGCATTTGTGTATTTATTTGTTTGTAAGCAAATACAGTGCAGCAGAAAAATTTAACCTAACCAGCTATGACTCCAATATTTAGAAGAGAAAACCAGAAAATCTAGTCAGACAAAAAATCCCATTTACCAATTTATTGACAATATTAATTATGTATATAATTTTGACATAGAATTTGTTTCTGTACTAATTGTTTTTCAGCGTCTAATTTGCCCGTATGAGAATTATTTTATCTGACTGGATATTTGTACTTATACCCTTTTTTACGAGTAAGGGGTGGGATTTGTCTTTACCTAGCTATTACGAAGAATCATACAAAATAATGAAGTTTTTCCTGTTTATTTTCATCAAGAAATGCAAAATTTGTACATTTAATGTTATCAATATCTATTATAGATATGACAGCTTGGCTCCTGAAGGTGATGGGAACACTCCAGGCCCTCAGAGGTCAGTGGAGGGGTGGATCCTGTTTGTCAGCAATGTCCATGAAGAAGCACAGGAAGAGGATATTCAGGTAACAAAATGATGAGTTTTAGTTATGAAGACTCCCTGATCCAGCTGGAAGTCATTGTAATAACACAATATTTGTGACTGTTGCCTGACTCCTGACTCCTCTGGTGTTTTAGGTGTCCATAAGCGGCGATAATCACTTAACATCAGGTGATCCTTCTACTTTCTCCACATTTGCCTTGCATACCATTTAAAAAAATAGAAAAATGGAGGAACTTGACTTGTATCCTTGAGCATATTTATGTAGGTTGACAATTAATTAACCAACTAATTACTAATTGAGGATTTCATAAGCAATTGCATGTCCCCAATTAGTACTTTTAGGTCCAGATTGATTCTCAATGTTTACTTTGACCATTTTTCAGTGATATCTGAAACTATATCTAAAAAAAAAACTATGCCTCACACTAGTATTTTATTCTGTGTTGTGGGTACGTTTACAAACACATACACCACACCCAGACCCAGAACAACAATTTATGGATCACACAATGAGTTGTTCCATTCAGGAATCAAAACCGCGACATTGCGCGCCAGTCAGTTTCCTAGCCACCACGCCCTGTACAGTCCTTAATTTTAACTCTAAAAGAAAAAAAAGAAGTTGTGATTATTTTTTAAGATTAAATTTTGGTGTTTTGTCTTTATTACAGAATCAATTCTCAGAGTTTGGTGAGATCAAGAACATTCACTTGAACCTCGACAGACGTACTGGTTTCCTCAAAGGTTACGCTCTTGTGGAGTATGAGACCTACAAACAGGCTGCGGTGAGTAGAACATTGTATTAGAATGCCCATTGTAATGTAAAAGTTACCTTCTTGACTTTCTTAAAGATCCATTTTTGTCAAGCAAAGTCATCAAGTCTCAAGTTTGAAATGATGTTAAATTTGGTAGATTTTTTAGTTTAGCTTCCTATATCTATTCTAATTCAACCAATTATGTTTTCCGGCAAAGAGATCACTAGTTCAAGTAGTTTCAAGGTATGCCAGGGTCCTATAGTCACCTAAGCCGAGCTTGTCAGCACAATTCATGATTATCCTATAACTGCCCACTGCTGAGCAAAGGCGTCTTCTCACATGGAGTAGGTTAAGCATTAATCAACATACTTGGTTAAGCGGATTGGCGATTTCAAACTTTCAATCAAATTATACGTCCAGGTTTTCTCACGACGTTTTCCTTCACCTTATGTCATTGGTACTTGCCAGGTTTCGAACCCACACGCTCATGCATGAGAAGCGGGTGCCTTAACTTGTTGCCACCACGACCTCGGAGCCAGCACAATTACCATTTTTTTAATATCTTACGATTGTTATTATAGTATGGTTTCTTTACTATTTATATTTTTTGTCACAGAGTGCGCGCGAAGCGCTGGACGGCGCAGACATATTAGGCCAGCCAATATCAGTCGACTGGTGCTTCGTCAAGGGACCAACTAAAGGACACAAGAAGAGGCGATAGATTATAAACATTAATATAAGCTCTAATTATCTACTTTGTTTTTTATTTTATTCGTATGAAAGTCCAAAATCGTCAAAACTTCTCATATAAAAGGAATAAATTGACAGGGCCTGCGACTTTTCTGAACTAAATGGATATTAAAATTACAATACATCAATTTTAAATGCTACATTTTTTTTATTTTTTTTTTATCTAATCATCCCTTTCGATTACAAATTAATAATGATAGTGTGTGTGTGAGTTATTAGCGTGTGTTGCATTGGACATTATAAGCGATTTTTAAAAGCATAACTGTTTTAAAGTACCGCCAACTTATTTGTTCAAAACAAAAAATGTCATAGAATAGAAATTAGTCGTAAGATACGTGTTACAAATCGCACTATCTCGTATTTCTTTAATTATTTTTTATTACCTATCACATTTTGGTGATGGTATTATAAATAGTGTAGGTACGATAGAAAAATGAGGTAAGCAAAGATTTAAGCTGAAGGAACTAATGTGGCATATGGCATAAGGTTTACTAACCAATAAAATTTTTACTGTTTGCAGACACAAAAATAATATTGTACGTTTGTCTAGTGCGCAGTGTTCTAGAGTACTGTAGCGTCGTTTGGTGGCCTCATTACGCGGGTCACTCGCTTCGGAAGTTTCAGTCTAGTCTACTAGGACCTTACGCATCACTAGCGCCGCCTTGTGAGATTACTGTTGAATGTACTAAAACGCCTTCGCAACAATAACTTGTAAACTCCAGAATGTTCTAGATGTCCATACCTGGTTTACTTAATATATTATGTAAGATTCTTTTCCTAAATTGCATTTTATTTGTTCCCCTATTTCAATAAACAATTTTTTTTGTTTATCATAAATGACTAGGATATTCCAATAAGGCTATTAAATGTGTGGGCTATGATATACTAATCCACCGCTTGATAGGCGATTGGGAATCATAGTTAAAGATCACCGAAAAATTATAATACGTAGGTATATAATACTGTTGTAAGTAAAATAACTAAAATAAAAACACAAAATAATTATAAAAAGACATTTATTACAATAACTGACAGTAATTTACTTCATATGGATCATGTGGGCGAGCGACCAATCATGTTTCACATCTGCGAGATCCTCAATGCGCACTCCTGCGCTGGTGACCACGCCCAACTGGTAGCGTTGGAATGCGCGCGCGTCGCGGTAGAAGAGAACCTCCATACATTTGCGGACTAACGCTCTGTGGGATAAAAGTTTTAATAATATTGATTTAATCGAAAATTGGGTGAAATATTGTACTCTAAGAAATTTGTATGTAACATAAATACTGAATTACAAATACAAACTTTCCCTGTTGTTACCCCATCACGTAAAAACGACTGACGAGAGAATTACTTAGAAGAAAAAATTAACACATAGGTACGCTACATTTTATCTTGAGAAAGCGGGCGGGCGAGGCCTGTGGCAAAAGCTTCAGATATTATTTCTAAGTACTCTTATGCTTTTGGAGGCCAAAATAAAAGTTGTAACAGCGTATTCTCTGATTCTATTGATATAATTTTTATTTGAATTTTGTCGATAGATACCTATAGAGATTCTTGAAAATTCATAAGGTTGTAGCGAAGGTGTGGGCAGAAAACTAATACTAAAACACACTAAAATTATCGGTACAAAATGAAAAAAGAATAATTGACTTACTTAGCACCCTCCTCATCGAGGTTTCCCTTGTCGACTGCTTCGCGTACAAGTGGAGTCGCCATGTAGGCTCCGAGGCCGGTCGCGATGGCCGCGTCTTCATACGCTGTGCCGAGCTTGTCTACTGCACCCAGGAAAGGTTCACCATCCTGAGGAATTAAGATGAGATATTCAAAACTTTCATTACCACTACGATTTTCACAATGATAACTCGGATGTCGCCTACATTTCTCATACATTGTAGGTCACTATCCTACGCATGTTAATGCTTGCGACGACGCGGCTTGTTGCGTAAAATGACAACATGAAATGAAGGCAATTGACAACATCGCGCTTAGTTACGCACCAACCTGCCGCGCGACGCTACGTTTGTTTTTAATTTATATCGTGTGTGTAAATCTCTGCGAAACATAAAGAAAGCATGCCGTCGTGTGTGTTCAGACGATGTACAAATTATACTCCAAAAGTTAAAGACAAAAATGTGTCATTTCATGCGTAAGTTCACCAAACAACCTATTTTTATTTTATTTTTTTCGACGCCGGCGCCCGCCATCTTATGGCGGCCGGCGCATTAAGGTATTATACCTTCACGTGCCGATAGGGGAGGTTGAGACACTATTATACTAGTGTTTTTTTTTTTGTTGATAGAATTTATAATATTGTTTGAATATAATAATTATACTTGTCATGTTATGAATATAAATTATAAGAGGCAAAAAAGTTTTACTATTACTTATCCTGTGATGTAAACTGAGGATGTATATTTATTTCCCTCTAGCAAAGGTATTCCACTATACGATGTCATATTTTCTTTCCCTTTCTTTACTCGTAGAAGTAGTTACTAGTATTTACGCCGTTTTTAAGCGCCGCGATGTTGGTTTATGGCGTGTCTATATATAATACGTCATTGGCGGTACCTTATTGCGATTGTCCCGCAACCCCGGCTAAACATCGCTGTTGAGCCCCATCAGTGGTTCACTGTTGGCTTTTAAAGGCGCGGGCGCGCGAAAAGTAACGGTAATTAGAAATTAAGTTTCCTCACGATGTTTTCTTTCACCATCAAAAACGAATATCCACAAAATTCTAACCTGAATTCCAGCAACTACATAGTTGCTCCACAAGGGGTCCATCTTGCTGCGCTTGTTGTAGAGTACCCGGGTGAGCCAGCAGTGAAGGGAGCGAGGCTTCAGCAGCAGACCATCTCCAATACATTGCTCATCAATACTGTGGATGTAAAAATGTTATGATGAGAAAGTCTTTGATTATAATTTTATTCATGTTTTTTAGCCTGGGATGTAAGGGAGGGAAATAAGCTAATGCATGACCTAATGGTAAGCACTTGGCGTCGCTCATAGATACCACGTGCGTTTTCGTTGTTTTCGATATTACGATTGGGTCGCCTGATAGAATATCTATCTAATATATAATAGAATAGGTGTTCAGATCAAAATCCCGAATCAAAGGTCTTATTTACGCAGAAAGGGCAGCGCGCCCCACGGTCTGCCCTACATTAATATTTGCTCATATTGTAATATGCTTATGTTTGCGTGGGCGATGACGCAGTCCACTGGCGCAATTTATGATGAAAACACGACGCGCCGCGAGTGCATAAGTGATATATAGTACTGCCTGTTGAACTGTAACTTTCAAGCAATTTGAAGCTCATCAAGTTACTTAATTTGTAATTTGGCGTAACATTTTGAGTCATCCCTTTTTACACAGAGTTCAAAAAAAGAAAGGAGGTTCTCTCAATCCAATTGTAATTTTTTTATGTATGTTAAGGCATATTCTTGGCATTTATAGACCAATTTGAGAGATTATTTTTGTGTTTAATAGATTTTATTTTGAGGCTGTCCAAATCACTTATGTCATCCATTCATTACATTGTAGTTGTTAAAATTGTTTTCACAGCACTAATTTTCTTTTGCACCTTATAATAATAACAGTAGCAACATCTCTTCAATTCACTTTTTTACTTCATTTTCTTTATCTACATAAACCTCAAGTAATTGAACAAACAAAAACCACTTACATTTTCTGTTCAATAATATCCTTCAAGTATTGGTAGTCAGCGTAATCTCCACCGTTACCCAGCAGGATCAGATCATTGACTTTCATGATACGGGGACAGTCACGGAACCTGGCGAGAGTACCATATGATCCGAGGGTATCTGCTGCGATCACACAACCCTTGTCAAACTTCACACCGATAACTGTAGTTGTGGTAGTGATGGGGGTAGCTGAACTGTAACAACAGAGAATAGATTTAGTAAAAGAAACTTGAATATATATTGCTGTGTATTTAATATTGGATATAGTGAGAAAAATTAATCAAAGTTAATCTGTAATGTGACTTATTGAATTAAAACCAATTCTTATAACTAGAATAAGGACAGGAACAAAACAGTAACTTAGAATTATTGAAAATGTTTTAAATATTAAATATTAAACATTCTCATGATGTATGAAGTTTGTGCTGCATAAGTTTATCCAGAACTTATATGTAGGTGGAGAAACAGGGACTTCGAATAATCCAAGTTTAAGATTGTTTAGAGGGTAATTTCTTATAGTAGAACTTTAAATCATAAAGATTTGTGTTGTGAAAGACCTTCATTAATACCTAATAACACCTTCATGGTGTTAAGTTTATATTGGAAAGTTTACATAGAAACAAAAGATGACTTGTACATTTTCATTATTGCTTTTTTCAATTACAGAAACTAGTTAAGGATGATCAATTATTGTTTATAAAAATTGGAAATCTCTGCAATTACGGCGATATAGACTTACTGGGCTTTAAAATCCTGAACAGGACGAGTGCTTGGTCCAAAACCTGATGAATTTGCTGGGAAGTTGTAGAAGGCACCTGGAGCTGGCCCGTTCTGCCATAAGGGCGCAGGGTTCATCATATCACCCATAAATGCCATATTGACTATGAAAAATCTAAATTTACACGTTTAAAATACTTTTTGTAAAGAATTCGTGAATCTCACACAATGACAAGCCGCAACGAATTTGACAGAAAATGACAAACAGTTTTTGATTACAGTCCGTTACATTCTATGTATTAATTAACTATTAGTCTTGTCAAAGTATTCGTTTTTAATTTTTATCATTTACATTCATTATTTCCATTAAGTAGTATAATTAAACAATTTTGAATAAATGTATTTTTACAAAAACTATAAAAACACTACTAATAATGAAAAAATAAACAAATTTCAAGGGTTTAAATTGTGTTCAGCGTTAAAAGAAACGCAGTTATTCGTTCAGAAATATAAATTAATATATGAACATTTTCAGAGATATTTTTGTTATTATCAATCATTCAAATAATTTT